GGGGGGGTCTGTGTTCCGCTGGTTGGGGCGCCCAGGGGGAGGTCTGTATTCCGCTGGTTGGGGCGCCCCGGGGTCCCCGCCTGGCTGGTTGAGGAAGGGCGCTGTGGGTTGTCTTGGGGCTGGCTGAGGCGCCCGGGGGTCCCCTGCCCGACCAGTTAAGGAGCCTGGGCGCCCCGCCTGACTGGCTAAGGTGCCTCGGGGCTCCCCACCTGCTGGTTAAGGCACCGCGGGGTTACCACCCGAGCTGTTGAGTCTGCTGGGGGGGCCTTCGTTCGGGTTGGTTAAGGTGCTTCGGCGGTCTCTACCCGACAGGTTAAGGCGCCCGGGGGTCCCCACTTGGCTGGTAAAGGTGCCAGGGAGGGGTCCCCCGCCCCTCTGTTAAGGCACCCCGGGGTTACCACACAGCTGGTTGAGGCACCTTGGCAGCCCTACGTGACTAGTTAAGGTGCCTCTGGGTGCCCGCCCTCCTGTTTGTGGTCCCTGTGGGTTGCTCCCTGACCGCTTGTGGTGTCTGCTCCACATCAGTTGATTGATTAAGGGGGTGCTGTCTCACGACACTTGGTTAGTCGTGGCGCCTGCAGGTCCCCGTGTCTGACTCGTTAAGGCGCTTGCGCCTCAAACGCTTGACTAGTTAACGGTGCTCGTATCTTTGAGCGCTTGACTCTTAAGGCAGCCGCGTGTCCCAGCGTGACTAAGGTAGCTGAAGGTCCCGCGAGCGCCTCTGGTGACAGGTGTCCGGCCTCAGTCTCTGTGAGTGAGTCTCACTGTGTTTCAGGGACGGTGTGGGAGGCTACCGTGAACTTTTTCGGAGGTTTCAGCGCAGCTAGTTAGGTTGTGCCTCAGAGGAGTCCGTTTAGAGAAGTGTCCTATCACAGTCAGAAAAGGTCTGAGGCCAGAATGCAAATCAGGGTTTAGGTTCGATTCCTCTTTTCATCGTGGTTCTCCGGGTACTGGGTGAGGAGCCTTTCCTGTGGTATTGACGCCAGCGGCGTCTAGGTGGGTCGTGTGCTCCTGTGTCCTGACGGGGTGCGCCGCTACTCAGGGTATTTTAGAGGGACAAGGAGAGGCTGAAGAAAACCAGGGGACAGTGGTGAAGGCCAGTGTGTCCTTCAGAGGCCACAGTCAGGGAAGACCTCTGTCAGCGACCTTTGTGCGGACAGTGGGTGACTGGGATGTGGTCGCTCTAACGGTCTACGTGCCCTCAGCTGGGGCTGTGCGTGGCCCGTCTGAAGCCTGACTAGCGGAGGGCGAGGGGCGGCGTTCAGGTGGAAGGGGAGGTGGGTGGAATGTGAGGTGCACGTTAGACTTTTTAAGGCAGTTCCTGTACTTGTTGGCGGGCTGAGGGGGATTCAGAGAGGAGTCTGGGATGACTCAGGTGTTTCACTCTGAACACCTTTGTTCCTTGGGGAACCATTTGCTGAGATGGAGAGGGTGGGGGTAGAGCAGACCCGGCATGGGGAAGGAGGCAGTACTTGATGAGACCTGGGTGTGGGTGCGGAGACTGCCCACGTTCTGCACGACGTGGCCTCTCTGCATATAGTTTTAAAGACCTGGGGCTAGAAGAGATACTTGGGAAGAGACGCTGAGTGTGGGAGAGCGCCTGGACAGTGCTCGAGCTGGATGTGAGAAGTGATGAAACACCAGATGAAACACCACGGAGATCGAGGTCTGAGTGCCCCAGTGGTCTCCTGTTTAGCTGAGGAGAAAATGTTAAATCCTTATATTGCCTTAAAAGTCCTTTGTATCCCCACGGGTACCCCTCTAGCTCAGTAGTTAGCCACTTGGGCCTCCTTACCCATCTAACATGGCAGAAAGCCCTTGGCTCCTGCTCTTGGCTCTGTGGTTGCTGCCTGTCTCCCCAGGCTGCTGTGGTGATGCGTGGGGGATGCGTATAGGTGCCTGCAGTAGAGCCAGGTGCGTTTCCATCACGGGATGTGGGAGGTGGTTCCCGT